AGCTGGGGCTCGTTGACCCTGCCGTGGCCTCCATCAACAGCATTTGTACCAGCTGATGCTGAAGGCAGCCCGGACTCCTCCGGCACACGGACAGCAGCCCTGCCGTGGCACCTGCTCCCTCTGCCGGCTGCCCATCCCCGGCAGCGCCAGGACTCCTCTGCGTGGGGGCACAGCCACCCGTGCCACCCTCTTCTTGCAATTACAGCCTGGTTGAACTTGTCTCTGGGACTTCTGCTGCTCACTCGGGTGCAGAGCTGGGGGATCTTGAGGCTTAGCTGGGGGTCACACTCCTCTTTTTTGCCAGGCCATGGCGGTGCTGAGGGAACACGATCAGGTGTGGAGGAGGGCTCTGGCTCAGGGGTCTGTAGCAAGAGCTGCTGCTCTGCAGTGGGCTGCTCTGGGGCTGTTGTAGCTCCAGCAAGGTGGCCACAAAGAGGTGGGGAGCCAGTTGCTGCAGGGCAGGCTGTAGAGCTGGGAGGGCTTTGCTGTGGCACTGTGCTCTCACAGACAGCTGTAGTGCCTGACCCATGGGCAGCTCTGCTGTGTCAGGGCAGCTGGGGTCCCCCCTTAAGCTGGCAGGACCACAGGCATGCCATAGCTCTTGGGGGAAGCTACAGCTGAGGAGTGCAGCCAGTGCTGCCTGCCATGTCCATGCAGAGGGTTGTTGGGACAACGCCGTCTCAGCCTCTGTTCCTCACTCTGCTCCTTGGTCAGACCCAGGGGCTCAACGCCCAACAGAGCCAGTGATGACTCTGGTGCAGTGGCAAACACCCAGGCTGTGTGTGTGGCTCAAAAAGAGGGCATTTCTACCCTGCTTCTGCAGCTCAGAGCGGGCAAGACAGACCAGAGAGGAGAGGGGAAACCCTACTGCCCCTTCTGCTTCCCACTGTCCATGACACAGGGGCTGGAACCTGATGATCTATAAGGGACCTCACAACACAAATCAGACTGTGATTCTATGAGCTTACCCCTCTGGGGACTACTTCCTGGGCACTTCACAGCCCCACAGGGGTCTACATGGGTGAGCCTGCAGGCAGAGCTCTGCACTCCAGCAGTCACACCTTGGCTCAGCAGAGCCCACCCACCAGCAGTCCCCTCCCCATACACCAGGGACAAAGCCCAGCACGGCACGGGGAGATTTACTGGATGCCTAACAGGATTAGCAACTGCAGGTGGGCAGGCAGCTATGTAATAGGATTGCAATCTAATTAAACCTGCTGCTTGGGAGCTGGGCCCCAGCTGGCCAGAGCAGAGAGGGCCCAGGGGGCTGCAGGGTAGCTCTAGGGGATCAAAGGGGAGGGGTGGTCAGAAGGAGGGGTGGTCAGGTGAGGTGGTGGTGGGTCCAGGGCTTTGCTGCCTGCATCTCTGGGCTTTGTGGGGGGCGATGGCTGTGGGGAGTCAGCCTAGTGTGGATGTGTGCCTGGCAGCCCAGGGAGGCTGGACAGGAACCTCAGCCACTGCAGTTTTCCTTCCCCCAAGAGCTCGCCCTCCAGCCCTTTCTCTGCCATGCAAAACACTGTGTCTGATCCAGCCAGGTGGCTGATTAAGGATTAATTTTTTAATTAAAAACGTTACTCACTTCACCAAGCCCAATCCTATCCCCCCAGCAGTAGCAGCCTCCAGAGAATGAGGACTGCTTTAACTTTCACACCAGCAGCACACTGGAGTGTGGTGCATACCCAGCTCAGGCCTTGAGCCTGGTGAGTGGTCCTGCACAAACACACCCCAGTTTCATCAGTATGCCATGCAGCACCCTTACCCTTCCCTCATGCCCAGGTCACTGCTGTAGGGCTGAAGTCCAAACCTGGTGCTTGCAGAGACTATGCAGACCCTACAATAACAGACCCTACGAAGCATGATGTGGGAAGCATCCCAGCACCCTAGAGATGCACATACCCCTTGCAAGCAGCTTGCACAGCCTGGAGGCCTGGCTCATGGCAGACACCATGTGCAGGTCTGGATCCCCAAGTGGTCCTGGCAGAGGCAGGCAGGGGTTTGAGCTGGCAGTGCTCTCACAAAAGTGGGGTCTGTCACCCAGTGTGTGAGAAGCTGATCCACACACAGAGTGGAGATACTTGCTTTAATACCCAAATCTGTGCAGAAAAGGGAGTGGGGTGGTATTCCACAAAGCAAGCTCAGCTTCCCAAAACACAAGGGCTACTTTTAAACCCAAAACCATGAGGAAGAACTTGATCTCTAACTTGTTCACACACACAATTAGTCCACTCATCCCTCGCTTCCATTGAAAGTGGCAGTGCTCAAACGTGTCACTACGTCTGCTCAAAGAGTGGGGGGCTTGTTGTTAGCAGGGGTCCCTCTGGCCTGTGCCTGGGTGATTTAGTAAGCTAAATATCTCATTAACATATTAATATGGTTACTCAAATTATTCAGTGTTTTCCCCCCAGTGCTCCAGGCTGTAACCAAGACAAGCTGTGGGCAGTGCTCCTTTCCATCCCTTTCATCTGTCCTGCTGGTGTCCTGCAGGCCTGTCTCAAGGCCAGGCTGTTGGCTACTTGGGGAGTGTTTTTCTCTAATTGGAATCTGCTTTTATCAAATCATTAATGTTTTGCTGTTTCCTAGGCCCTATTTTTATTCTGTGTGTCCCTTATGTTCTCTTTTATGTGATTTTTCCCCGAATGTGATTCTTTTCCCAAAAATTTTACTTATTTCAATTAGTAACTGAAATCAGCAGAGCTGCCCCAGGAAGCCTGGAGGAGCCCTGCACCAGCTCTGCTGGACTCTGCTTCTCTTGGCTGTTGGGGTGGCTCAGAACTCCCTCTCCTTTTAATTAAACCTGCAACTGCATTTTTCATATCAAGGACAGGCCAAGTGGCCGACCGTGCTGCCGGGGAGGGAGCTTGGCCAAGCTGTGCTGGAGTGGACCCAGACACTCTCTGACAGCCCAGCTTAGCCCCTGGGGCCCACAGGCTGCCTGCTGGGAACTGAAAACCCCCCTCCCCACTTCAACCACCAGGCCCAAAGGTGCAGAAACCCATCCCCCTGCCCCAGAGGCTGGCCCAGCTCAGGGGGCATGGTGGTGCAGTGCAGTCTTGCAGGACTGAAAGGTTTTTGCTCAGTGCTGCTGGCACCAAGTGGGGTGAAGCTGCTCTCTCCCACGGGACAATCAGCACAGGGAGTGTGGCACTGTTTCTTTTACTACACCTGTGGTAAAAAAACCCAACATGTTGGGACACCTCATGGGAGACTCCGTACCCCCTCAGCCACCTGCCCCTCGTGGTGGGGTCAGGAACACTGGCCTGCCCACCCCTGTGGGGCTGGGTGAGCTTTGCTAGGGTTCTCACCGTGGTGCTCAGTCTTGGCCCCATGGGGATGCACTTGGGGTGAAGGCTGGACTCTGCCTTCCCACACTGCTCAGAGAATTGGGGTCTCCTTTGTTCCCTCCCACCCCCAGTGTAAGCAGCCTTTCTGAAGGTCCATCATTGCCTCTGCCAGGCACAGTAACCATGTAACCATGGCAACAGTGTCCCTAAGACAACCCAGGTACATCTGACATCCCCACGGCAACCGACTCCCTGAACAGTCGGTGAAGAGCTTTTTCCTCCGCGCAGTGGAGGAATAGGGGAGTTTGATCCGCACCGGGGCAGGTGGCTGCAGTGAGACAGAGCTGGGAAGGGCTTTGGCCAGACTCCTGCACAGGACAAGTCTTTGAGGCCTCTGTCCTGCCAGGGAGGCAGCAGGGGACACGGGTGATGCAGGAGCTGGGGGTGGCCCTGGCGACAGCATCACCCCGGCTCAGCCTCCTGCATCCCAGCCCCGTCCTGCCTGCTGGGCTGTCAGGGAAATGTGTATCCCAAAGGCAGCGCCCGTGCTGCTTCCTCCCACAGCCTCCCCCGGCCCCCAGCCCGCACCGCAGGGACGCTCTGCCCTCCCCGGGGGCTCTGCCGACCCCCTGCCGCCGCCTGCCCACGCCTGCGGAGCTCAGCAGGCAGGGGCCCTGGCGCAGTCTGTCGCTGCAGACGGCATTTGCACGCCATGCAACTTTAATGTGTCAGGCCTGAATTATTGAGCCCTGCAGCGCGCTGTGTGTGCGTGCAGGCAGGACCTGTCACCCCTCCTCCTCTCCCTGCCCTCCGGTGGCAGCAGAGGGTGGGGGGTGGC